TTTCTTCATAGCTAAGTTATATTCATTTATTAAATAGCATTTTTCATGCCAACCCCTATATTAACATTATATGCCAGAAAGCATTTTTATATTTATTAACCATTCTCCAATTTGTTAAATGTATGAGACAAATTTTGAGTTATACAAAAACTTAAAATCAAGAGAATATTGAGCATAATTTGTCATTTTGAAAGTTCAAACTATATGCATTTCACAGAAAATTATGGACACATACACTTTATGTTATAAAATATCTTGTTTTGTAAAACATATAATTTTGTATAATTTCAATGTACTCTCTTGATGTATTACTACTGATGCTTCCTCTATTAAACAGTAGCTATGTTTTCTCCTGGATTATTATACTGTGGTATCTCAGTATCCATGGGGGAGTTGCTCCAGGTGCTCCTCCGGATACTTGAGCTGTATATGCTCAAGTCCCTTACATAAAATGGTATAGTATTTGCATATAACCTATGCACATTGTCACATATACTTTAAATCATCCCAATATTACTTAAATATAATGTAAATGTTATGTAAGCAGTTGTTATACAGTTTTGTTTAAAAAATAATGGCAAAAACAAACAAACAGATTTGACATCTTCAGTATAGATGCTTTGCTATTTTTTTTTTTAATTTTCAGATTGTGGTTAGTTAAGTCCATGGATGTGGAACTCACAGATACAAAATCTTAGCTATACTTTCTCTAAATATTTAAAAATACTGTGAAATATTTTGAAAATAGAATGTAATATTCTAAAAATATTAAGTGCTTAGAATACACACTATTATTAACTTTCTCAGTAAAAATAAATGTTTATGCTATGACCCAAAATTTCAAATAGAATATGACAATTATCCCTAATATATATTTATATATATTAAGATATATACATTTTTTATCACATAGCTTGAAATAAATAATATTTACATTACATTATTTACATATTATTTTTAATATAATATATATTTATTATATACATTTGGGATAATTGTCTTGGGGTAATATATTCTCTTTGGGATAATAATATATATATATATATATATTTTTAAATCACATAGCATATTAGAGGAGAAATCACCTTTTAAAACATTCAGACATTATAAACATAGAACAAAATAACAACAGAAATTTCTTTTTATCCTTATTTTAAAATAATTTTATTATAACTATTTAAGAAATTGTATAATCTTTTAGCATAATTATGAGGGAATGTATTCTCTTCCCTGATCCATAAGGGGGCATAGTTTCAAAGGCAAGAACTTCCCAGCGCCATACCTCCACCTACCTCTCCATCCGGCATCTTAGAGGTCTTTGTTTAAACTTTCTCATGGGAGGGAAAAAAATCAGAGATCATTCATTCCAGCTTAAGTTTAAAGGAACTTCTTTCATAGGATGGAAAAAAAATTGAATGGGACGGGAATTCCTTCCAGGTTAAAAGTCCCCTTCCCCCACGTCGTGGCGGACTCCATATCTGGATCCCCTCCCATGACCTTGTGGGAGCTACTTTTCTCTCTATCCATTTATATCTCCTTTTTCCCTCTGTCTAAAGAAATCACTTTCTGCAAAACTTTTTGGGGTCCAATATTTACTTATGAGTGCATTGCACCCTGTGGGGGTCTCTCTCCCATTCTTGCGTGAGTGAGGGACCAAGGTCCTGGAAGAACCGTCCACCTGGGAGCAAGCTGAGCCTCCCCCAGGTCCGGGAACTCAGTCTCAATTACATTTTTATAATCATGTTGAATAGTTATCATTATGAATTTTAGAATACAAATATAAGATTTGTATATATTGGCTAAAATAGAAATATTTATTTCTGAATGATTCTCTAGTATATATTCATCTTATTTTTTAAATTAAGAGTGCAGAAATATTATTTGATAGGGATTATTTTAATTTTTAGAAAAATTCTATGTATAAAAAACTTTATTTAAAAAATAAAAACAGATTATCCACCATAAAATGTAGTTTATTCCTCTCAAATACATACAATTTGACAAGACTCATAACTTTCTATATATTTAATATTTTATATCAGCCCTAATACACATTTACCTCTCCCTTGAACTATCAAAAAGAAGGTAAATAAGTTAAAAAATACTGTGAAATTTTTAACTGTCCAAGTATTATAATTAACAGGTATTTTATGGGCTGTTTCCCCACAACATCCAACAGACAAATACAGTGATGTCCACTCTCACAGCTTATATTAAACAATGTAGCCATTGCTCTAAAGTACAAAAGAGGAATTCAGTTCAAGTTAAAAAGGAAGAAACAAAACTTTTATTCATACCTGATATCATCGTATACATATAAAATCTAGGGGGAAAAAGTTACTACTAATAACTTTTAAGATACGGCTTTTAAGATAATATTAAGCTCCCAGACGCTGATATAAATATGCACACACATACACACTCAAAATTACCTGTTATTAAAGCATATATATAAAATTTTGAATTTGTTTTTGTTTGCAACTAGTTGGGGAGAGAATAGTTTGTTTAGTATAGAAATAATTCTTGAGTCTAGGAGTACAGACGAGACGGATGGCAGACACGGATATATTCTCTCCTCAGTTTGGCCCTATGGGATGGGTATGGGTATGTTCCCCTATCATAAGTGGGATTGAGTAAGGGGAAAAATGTGGTGCTATAAGTAAAACATAAGCAGAAAATCAGTTTCTTATGCTATCTTGCTCAGGGTCTTTATGTATATTGTATCCCAAATAGACTTTAATGTTTATTCTTCGAACCAGGTCATAGTCAAAAATTGCCAAGTTAACTAGAATTTAGAAGGAATTTTGTGCATTATTCATGTTTTCCTTAACTTAAATCTTTACTAGCACTGTTATTTGGAAGTATAACTCTCTCTTCTTGTATATATGTGTGTGTGTGTGTCTGTTTACGTGTCTGTGCATGCAGCAGTAGGCTGCTTCAAAGAGAAAGTGGTGCCTGCCAGGTCTCTTTAGTGTCTAGGCTCACACCTACCATAGCATCATTTCCACCACATTTCACATTTTATGTCTCCACAGGGTTTTACTGAAAATAAGAAAGTGTAGAAGAACAAGTAAAAGCAATGATGCTTGAAAATTGCTAAAAGAGTATATCTTAAATATTGTCACCATGAAAATAAGTATATGTTAATCTGCTTGATTTAATAATTTCATGATATGTAAATAAACCAAAATATCAAAGAAAAATAAAAGAATAATAGTACTAGTATCAGACACATGTAGGTTTTGTCTTGGCTTTTTTAATGAAAGCTAGGTGATTCTGGATAATGTATTTAAAATCTCTAAGACTCATTTTTCTTTCTTATAAAGTGGGAATTGAAATAGGTCATGTTAAAAAAATTTGAATTGCTTCATTAATAGTGATTCAAAGGCTAGAAAATATATCCTTGTAATATATTTCATTTTAAAAATACTAAAATTAACAAACATCATCAACAAAAGTTTTAGCAAGTTCACAGTTTTCTTCAATTTGGTCTAAACTGAAGAATGTAATCTTCCACATGTTTGAGGTGAGAGCCATGTAATTAGTTACTTAAAATAATGAAGTGGTTGGGGATACCTCAACTTTCCATACAGTAACCCATAAGATTTCAATTAGTCAATGGTCAGCACTGTTATTTTATCTTGTAGGATTGAATCAAAAAAATCATATTAAGTATCATTTATTTAGCAACCTGGACAGTTTTACTATTGTTTAAATTTGAGTCAGGGAATCAGTACCTAAGAGCACACATTGCATTGTGTTTCATTCAGGTATGTGAGTGAACATGTGTGTGTCATTTGTGTGTGTTTATATCTATATCTATATATATATAGATATATATATGTGTATATATGAAAAGTTAGAGACATTTAACATTTTGTTGCTGACATTTTATACATTTACCTTTAAATATTAGAGTACATTCCCAAGAATGTTCTCTTAAATATTTTCACCATGAAAATAAGTATATGTTATTAACAGCACTATAATTATCAAAATCATTAATTACATTAATACAGTACTTTTTATATTAATTGTGCATATTCAAATTTCATCTATTGCTTTATTATTGTCCTGATTAACTATTTTTGTTTTTACAGTGTAAGGCTCAATTCAATCCATACAATACATTTATATGCCACATTGCATTCATCTCTTTTAATCTGTAAGACTTCCTTAGCCTTTCCTTGGCTTCATGACCTTGACATTTTCAAAAAAATTCAGGCCACTTATTTTGTGGAATGTTCCTCAATTTAGCTTTGACTCCTGCTTGCTAATGATTGTATTTAAATGATACACTTTTGATAGTAACATCACAGAAGTGATGCTGTGTCTCTCTTAATGCATCATATTAGGAAGACTTGCTGTCAGTTGGTCCCATTATTGCTGATGGTAACTGATTAGTTGCCTAAGGATATAGCTGCTAGGTAAATCCACTATAAAATTATTGGTCTTTCCTTAAATATGTGTGTGTGTGTGTGTGTGTGTGTGTGTGTGTGTGTGTGTGTAGTTTGGAGTGAGTTACTTTGACAATATTTAAACATCCTGGTTCTCATTAAAAGTTTACTTGCTAGTTTAGCTTCTGCTCTGGATTTTTGTCTTACTCAATTTTTATAATAGCTGCTAAGTGGCGTTGTTTCTAATGCTATAATTTCTTCTACCTATCCATACTTGTAAAAAGTTATTTTTGACTGAACTAGAATAGCTCAATGTGTATCTCCAGGGATGCCTGAAAGTTTGAAACTGATTCTTGGTCAAGAGAAGAGTGAAAGGACTAAGAAATTATGTATAATATTGTGTTTAAAGTTTGAAACTTTCCTAGTGTCACCAGGCCAGTTTGCATATTGCTGGCTTATACCTGGTGTAACTGGTTTTACAGCTTGGCTTGGCCACATGACTAGAGGAGTATACAAGTTCCGACAGGGAATTTGTCGGAAGCTCTTTCAAAACCTAGACTGCTTGCACAAATCATAGTGTTTTCTATGTCAAAAATGAAGCACATCTTGTGGAATGTTCCCAATACAAAGAAATGATCAATGTTTCTAGGTGATGGATATCACAATTACATAGACTTTATCATTATACAGTGTATCTTTGTATCAAAATATCATGTGTCCTATAAATTCACACAATTATGTATCTATGGAAATTAAGCGTAGATTTAATAAAAGAATAATTTTTTGTGTGGGCATGGTGGCTCACACCTTTAATTCCAGCACTTTTGGAGGCTGAGATGGGCAGATCACTTGAGGTCAGGAGTATCAGGTCCACCTGGCCAACATGGTGTAATCCTGTCTCTACTAAAAATAGAAAAATTAGCTGGGTGTGGTGGTGCACTCCTGTAATCCCATCTACTCGGGAGGATGAGGCAGGAGAATCACTTGAGCCCAGGAGATGGAGGTTGCAGTGAGCAGAGATCATGCCACTGCTCTCCAACCTGGGCGACAGAGCCAGACTCTGTCTCAAAGGAAAAAAGAATGATACTGAGGAACTGTACCTGGAAATGTCTCAGGCTAATGATGCTTGTCTGTACAATCTTTTTTTTTGCTGTGCTGTATCTTTTGACTTTATTGAATTTCTTTCACAAATATGCTTCCTAAAGTCTTTTGTATGCTTTTTACTATCTGGTGCTGTCAAATACTATTATACCATAAGAGGGGGCATTCTCTTTTCTCTCATTAGTTCATTTTACATTCATTTTTTTCAACATGGACTCATAGTTACTTCTTAATTACACAACAATTCTGTTGCTATCATTTCTTTGGATGTTAAAATTTCTAAGGTTTAGCTATTGGGAGATCTTTAAAGTTGTTTCCATTATCTTGTTGTCATATATAGAGAAAACAATTATATATCTTCCTCTGCCCATTTTAGATTAATGGCTTAAGCCCCTATACTAAAAAACATATTAAGAAAAGAAGATCATACAAGTGTTTTTTTTTAAAGTAAGTTTTACCTGGCACGGGAGTCTTTATAAGAAAATGAAGACCCTGAAAAACAGTTAAGCCTTAGTGTTTTATATAGCATGTTTAGTGGAAATTGCCCAGTTGTGAAGAAATCTAATAGGGCAAAAAAATATAACCTAGTACTGAAAAACTGGCGGGGGGGGCATTCAGCAAAGCTTATTTAATCAGATTCTTCTCTGAGTCCCTGTTTCTTCAGTGATAAGGACGCCTGTTTTCACCAGTTATGAGGAGGGCACCTGTCATTTGACAGTCTCTCAGGAAACCCATTTCACATGAAAGGATACACATAGGCTCAAAATAAAGGGATGGAAGAAGATTTACCAAGCAAATGGAGAGAAAAAAAAAGTAGAAGTTGCAATCCTAGTCTCTGATAAAATAGACTTTAAACCAAGAGATCAAAAGAGACAAACAAAGGCATTACATAATGGTAAAAAGATCAATTCAACAAGAAGAGCTAATGATCCTAAATATAGACGCATCCAATATAGGTGCACCCAGATACATAAAGCAAGTTACTAATGACCTACAAATAGACGTAGACTCCCACACAATAATAGTGGGAGACTTTATCACCCCACTAATAAGATTACTCAGACCAACGAGACAGAAAATTAACAAGGCTATCCAGGATTTGACCCACACCTGGACCAAGCAAACCTAATAGACATTTACAGAACTTTCCAACCCAACTCCACAGAATATACATTCTTCTCAGCACCACATCAAGCTACTCTAAAATTGACCACATAATTGGAAGTAAATCACACCTCAACAAATGTAAAAGAATGGAAATTATAACAAAAAGTCTTTCAGAACACAGTGCAATCAAATTAGAACTCAGGATTCAGAAACTAACTCAGAATCACCAACTTCATGGGAACTGAACAACTGGCTCTTGAATGTTGACTGGATAAACAATGAAATGAAGGCAGAAATGGAGATGTTCTTCGAAACCAACAAGAACAAAGACACAATGCACCAGAATCTCTGGGATACATTTAAAGCAGTGTCTAGAGGAAAATTTACAGAAACAAATGCCCACATGAGAAGCAAGGAAAGACCTAAAATTGACACCCAATCATAAAAACTGAAAAAGCTAGAGGAGCAAGATCAAAAATCTCAAAAGTTGGCAGAAGACAAGAAATAACTAAGATCAGAGCAGAACTGAGGGAGACAGAGACACAAAAAACCCTTCAAAAAATAAACAAATCCAGAAGCTGGTGTTTTTTGTTTTGTTTTGTTTTTGTTTTTGTTTTTGTTTTTGTTTTTGTTTTTTCAGATCAACAAATAAACAGGCCACTAGCCAGATTAATAAAAACAAAAATAGAGAATTATCAAATAGATGCAATAAAACATGATAAAGGGGATATCACCAAGATTCCACAGAAATACAAACCACCATCAGAGATTACTACAAACAACTCTATGCACATAAACCAGTAAGCCTGGAAGAAATAGATACATTCCTGGACACATGCACCCTCCAAAGCCTAAATCAGGAAGAAGTTGAAACCCTGAATATACCAGTAACAAGGGCTGAAGTTGAGACAGCAATTAATAGCCTACCAACCAAAAAAAGCACAGGTACATATGGGTTCACAGCTGGATTATACCAGACATACAAAGAGGAGCTGGTACCACCCCTTCTGAAATTATTCCAAACAATCCAAAAAGAGGGAATCCTTCCCAAATCATTTTATGAGACTAACAACATCCTAATACCAAAACCCGCAGAGACTCAACAAGAAAAGAAAACTTTGGGCCAATATCCATGATGAACATAGATCCAAAACTCTTCAATAAACTATTGACAAACTGATTGCAACAGCATATCAAAGAGCTTATCCATCCATGATCAAGTAGCCATCATCCTGGGGATGCAAGGCTCATTCAAAATACACAAGTCTATAAATGTAACTCATCACATAAACAGAACCAAAGACAAAAACCATATGATTATCTCAATAGGTGCAGAGAAGGCCTTCCACAAAATTCAACAACCCCTTATGCTAAAAACTCCCAATAAACTAGGTTTCGACGGAACGTATCTCAAAATAACGAAACCTATTTATGACAAACCAACGGCCAATATCACACTGAATGGGCAAAAACTGGAAGCATTCACTTTGAAATCTGGCACTAGACAAGGATGCCCTCTCTCACCACTCCTTTTCAATATAGTATTGGAAGTTTTAGCCAGAGCAATCAGGCAAGAAAAAAAAAATAAAGGGTATTCAACTAGGAAAGGAGGAAGTCAAATTGTCTCTATTTGCAGACAACATGATTGTATATTTAGAAGGCTCTATTGTCTCAGGCCAAAATCTCCAGAAACTGATAAGCAACTTCAGCAGTCTCAGGATACAAAATCAATGTGCAAAAATCACAAGCAGCCAATAACAAACTTAAAGAGAACCAAATCAAGAATTAACTGCCATTCACAATTGCTACAAAGAGAATAAAATACCTAGGAATAAAACTAACAAAGGATGGAAAGGGCCTCTTCAAGGAGAACTACAAACCACTGCTCAACAATATAAGGGAGGACACAAAGAGATGGAGAAATATTCCATGCCATGGTTAGGAAGAATCAATATCATGAAAATGGCCGTACTGCCCAAAGTAATTTATGGATTCAATGCTATCCCCATCAAGCTACCTATGACCTTCTTCACAGAACTGGAAAAAACCACCTTAAACTTCATATGGAACCAAAAGAGAGTCCACATAGCCAAGTCAATTCTAATAAAAAAAAAAACAGAGCTGGAGGTTTCACAATACCTGACTTCAAACTATACTACAATGATACAGTAATCAAAACAGGATGGTACTGATACCAAAACAGAGATATAGACCAATGGAACAGAACAGAGGCCTCAGAGGCAACACCACACATCTACAACCATCTGATCTTTGACAAACCTGAAAAAACAAGCAATGGGGAAAGGATTCCCTGTTTAATAAATGGTGTTGGGAAAACTGGCTAGCCATGTGCAGAAAGCAGAAACTGAACTCCCTCCTGACACCTTACACTAAAATTAACTCTAGATGGATTAAAGACTTAAACATAGACCTAATACCATAAAAACCCTAAAAGAAAACCTAGGCAAAACCATTCAGGACATAAGCCTATGCAAGGATTTCATGACTAAAACACCAAAAGCATTGACAACAAAAGCCAAGATAGGCAAATGGGATCTAATTAAACTCCAGAACTTCTGCATAGCAAAAGAAACAATGATTAGAGTGAACTGGCAACCAACATATTGGGAACAATTTTCTGCAATTTACCCAACTGACAAAGGACTTATATCCTGAATTTACAAAGAACTAAAACAGATTTACAAGAAAAAAGTGAACAAACCCATTCAAATGTGGGTGAGGGTTATGAACAGACACTTTCAAAAGAAGACATATATGAGGCCAACAAACATGAAAAAATGCTCATCACCACTGGTCATTAGAGAAATGCAAATCAAAACCACGATGAGATACCATCTCACGCCAGCTAGAATGGTAATCATTAAAAAATCTGTAGACAACAGATGCTACAGAGGATGTAGAGAAATAGGAATATTTTTACATTGTTGATGGGAGTATACATTAGTTCAACCATTGTGGAAGACAGTGTGGCAATTCCTCAAAGACCTAGAAATAGAAATTCCATTTGACCCAGTAATTCCATTACTGAGTATATATTCAAAGGATTATAAATCGTTCTATTATAAAGACGTGCACATATGTTGATTTCATCACTGTTTATAATAGCAAAGACTTGGAAGCAACCCAAATGCCCATCGATGATAGACTGGACAGGAAAAATGTGGCACATATACACCATGGAATGCTATGCAGCCATAAAAAATGTTGAGTTTGTGTCCTTTGTAGGAACATGGATGAACCTGAAAACCGTCATTCTCAGCAAACTGACAAAAGAAGAAAAAATCAAACACCACATGTTCTCACTCATAGGTGGCTGTTGAACAATGAGAATACATGGACACAGGGAGGGGAGCATCACACACTGAGGTGTGTTGGGGGGAACTAGCGGAGGGACAGTGGAGAGTAGGGGGTTGGGGAGGAATAACATGGGGAGTAATGCCAGATATAGGTGATGATGATGGAGGCAGCAAACTACATTGCCATGTATGTACCTATGCAACAATCCTGCATGTTCTTCACATGTATCCCAGAGCCTAAAGAGCAAATATATATATATATATATATATATATGAAGTCTCATGACCATCAGCAGAAGGTAAGATAAATCTTCCTAGGTTTTGTGAACTGCTTCAGGGAAGAGATGAGAAGTCAAAATGTCTTTTCTCCTTCAGTCATTATCTCAGATTCCTTCAGTTTAAAACATTTAATATGCCAAGGGGCCTATTTTGAAGTCACATATACTAAAGTCATTTTTATACGCATTTCCCTTCTTTAGTTTTGCATGACAGCAAGAGTTCCATGTGTGCACATACACATAGTGATTACACACACATCCACTCCCCTTATATGTATACAATAGTCTCCCCTTTTCCACAAGTTGCCTTCTGTGGTTTCAGTAATCCATGGCTGAGCACAGTCTGAAAATATTAAGTAGAACATTCCAGAAATAGACGATTTATAAATTTTAAGTTACTTAAGGAGTAGCATGGTGAAATCTGCTGCCCAGGGTGTGAATCATTCCTTTGTCCACCTTATCCAGGTAATTGGCTACCCTGCTCCTGAGGCATTTAGTAACTATTTTTGTTATTAGTATGACTATGGCAGTATTGCAGTTCTTGTGTTGAAGTAACACTTATTTTAGTTAATATTAACCACAAAGTGCAAGAATACTGATGCTGGCAATTTGGATATGTCAAAGAGAAGCAATAAAGTGCTTCCTTTCAGTGAAAAAAGTACTCTTTTTTTTTTTTTTTTAAAAAAAAAAAAAAGTTTAATTTTGCTAAAATCTACAGTAAGAATGAATCTTCTAATCTGAAAATTGTGAAGAAGGAAAAAAAAAATCATGCTATTGGTATTAATCTGTCCTCACATATCTTACTGGGCAATTTATAAAGACATCCCAAGACTGGGAAGTTTATAAGAAAAAGAGGGTTAATGGACTCACAGTTTCACATGGCTAGGGAGGCCTCACAATCATGGCAGAAGGTGAAGGAGGAGCAAAGTTATTCCTTATATGGCAGTAGGGAAGAGATCTTGTGCAGTGAAACTCCAATTTATAAAACCATAAGATCTCATAAGACTTATTCACTACCATGAAAACAGTATCTGGGAAACAGCTGCCATGATTCTATTATCTCCAACTGGCCCCATCCTTGACACGTGGGGTTTATTACAATTCAAGGTGAGATTTGGGTGGGGACATAGACAAACTATATCGCTAGTTTTGCTGTAGTGTCTCATACTATAAAAATTGGGGCCACAGTGTGTACTAAGTGCTTAGTTAAGATTGGAATGGCATTAGAGCATGAAAGACATGAACAAAAATATGTTCTGATAGACGGAAATAGGGTTCAATACTATCTTAGTTTCAAGCATCCAAAGGAGTTCTTGGGCCATATCCCCTGCAGATAAGAAAGTACTATGGTATATATACATACATATATATGTACTACTGCACATATATATGTAC